GGACGCAGCTCGCTATGTTTCAGCAGCCTACGGAGAGGCTAGTTTTGTGTGATTCCGATCTAACTTTCTGCCAGCTTTATTAGTGCACATTGTACACATCTTTACAATACTTTGGTTTTAAAAACGATCTGCATACTGTGTTCCTATCCGGAAGCCTTTTTACATTCAAAGGACCTAATACTGGCTTGGTACATCTAAATTCAGCAATGAAAATTCACGCGAACTATACATTCATTAATTTGATAACGGAATCCCGCCCAGTTTCTTGGCCCTCAACTGAGAAGTTGATCTGACAGGTATCCACATCACTGAACACCTAGTTCACTTGAGTACTTTGAGGAGTGGGTCTATCCAGTTGTGGATGACTCTAAAGCCATAACCAAGTAATGAAGTGGGTTGGGGTTCCCTTGTGATCAGCAGGATTGAAGCTTCATTGATCCTCGAGATCAGTGAACAACACTATATGGTTTTATCTTAACCAGAATAGTGATAAGTTTGATGCCTCGCTAACCGATGTACTAACAGATTAATATCAGCGAAAAACTTAAGCCGCTTATTAGGTGTTTAGATTTAGAGTGGGTGGTTAATCGGCCTACTAGATCATCCACTGGGTGATCAGCAGGATTGAAGCTTCATTGATCCTTGAGATCAGTGAACAACACTATATGGTTTCATCTTAACCAGAATAGTGATAAGTTTGATACCTCGCTAACCGAAGTGCTAACGGATTAATCTCAGCGAAAAAATTAAGCCGCTTATTAGGTGGTTAGATTCAGAGTGGGTGGTTATTCGGCCTACTAGATCATCTACTGGGCCACTCGACTTTTTGAGTAGTGTAGTGCAGTCATGAACTTAACACGCTAACGTTCAAACATTAGGTGGTTAGATTCAGAGTGGGTGGTTATTCGGCCTACTAGATCATCTACTGGGCCACTCGACTTCATTTTTTGAGTAGTGCAGTCATGAACTTAACACGCTAACGTTCAAACTCTCTAGGGGATTAGGTTAAAGCTTAAATATTCTGTCCCCTGAATTCAGAAAGTTTCTCACTAGGATGTGCATAACTTTTAGCTAAACTTATTTCAACTAACCTTTATCGTTACAATAGGCCCCTTTGTATGCAAAACTAGAAACGATACAGATTTCGAGAGAGATCATTTCTCAACTGAAGTGGACTTGTGTACAGCGTTCCTGTAAAACTTGTTGTGGAGGTGGGGAGATTGGTGTGATTTGTGCATACACTCAAGAACGTCTTAAGTGGACTGCTTTACATCACCATCCACAAAGATTAACTTGTTTGTAGGCTGACATGTGTGGCTTCTAGTGCAGTGTTGATAACACTCTTAAATGGAAGGCCGGCTGTTTGGTAAGCGGTCGATTCAGAGCTAAAAATGCACTGCTGATGAGCTTCAGTTGGACTAAAGCTAGAATGTGATGGTAGGTCTCCTTTTGTCACAGCTTGTGACAGTTTCGGAACAGAAAAAAGTATTTCCGAAGGAATGTGATGTGGATGCAAATTGTACAAAATCACTTGACTACTCATGGGCAGTCCGATAGGCCTACGTGAGTTAATAAATCGAACAGAAATCCCCACAGAGGTGAGCTGGTCAGCTTGGATGCGCGTTTCGGAGTGACTTAGGGCCGTAAGGTAGCAACCGGTCACTAGTGGTTGATTGTGGTTCCTGCGAACTTTTCTGAGGAGCCACTTAGAAGCTGTCCTTTTTTAACTACTCGCAGGAAATGAAGCCCTCAGGCTGATAGTAAGGTTAGGTGTACGACATCTTCCACTTGCCTAAGGCAGCTTTCATAGTCGTGTCAACCCTCGAAAATGGCCTAAAAGTTTTCTCTTTTTTGGATTCACCTATACAGACCAAGTCGCTTTTACCTAACGTCCCCCAGATGTTTGATGCGTGGAATTTCACCGTTCCGACGTACAGGTGGCCTGGTGAAAGCCAACCCAGTTTTCGCAAAGTTCCGCAAGTAGAATCACGCAGTCATGGTATATCGCTACGTTACCACTACGCTGGTTCCGTGAAAGAATAAAGGAGTGTATGATGGTGGATGAGGAGGGTCTTATCGAATGCATCTTTTTCAAATTAAACATGAACCAACAGGAAATGCCAAAATAACAACAAACTGCCTTAAACCAGAAACACCTGGCTTAGAGATTATTTCAACATTCTATCATTTGTCAGTTTACGGGACTATAAACTTTGCCTTCTGTGATATGATCGGTGGTAAATTGGGCCTTCCGAACTCCATCGAGATTTGTGGCTGGTGTGACACACTGACATAAGACATTCAGAAAATAAATCGTACAAATTTGGCGGGTGGAAAAGCCGTTTACTTCTATCTTGTTTTCTTGGGGCTACAAACCGTGAAATTTCAAATTACCTGCTGGGGCATAATCTACCACTGCCTCACTCACAGTTTGACGCCCGTTTTGCGACGAGGTATGGAGTAGTGTTTACCTGTCTACTTGAGCCATAAAGAGGCACGCCATATGTTGTTGCTAATCATCGGGTCTTTTGTTCATTCCTTCAGGTATCCGCCTGAAGCGACATTTGCTTACATCGCTTGGAGAATGTGGGTTTTAATTCTGTGCCTGTCTCCCAGATACACACGTGGCAACTGTGCAGAATTTTATGGCACGCCGATAAGCTTAGATACCATGTTTTCTGGAAGACGAGTGGTGTGTTGGGTGTACACACAATCGCGCACACAACTTTCATTGCTAGTGATTTAGCTGTCCCCGTCGACGAGTACGGTCCACCACTTGTCTGAATTGACGTTGTACATCTAGTGACGTTGAACTGACAACCAACAACTGACAACTATGAAAGTAGATTAGGATTGTGCCAAGGAGTGTGGGAAATCTATTAACCCTCATGACGAAATGTAGGTAAGGGGGTGATCAGCCAATGTTTCATTAAAGCGAAGTTGAATATAGTCCTGATCCTCACAATGAAACTTAATAAAACCAGGTGTCCGTTTGTCATAAATATGGAGTAGAGTTTCATGTTTGCCTGTGATTAATATACACAACCCACCTAAATGTCAATGGACCGAAGGAAAGCAGTAACAAATATTCTTCTGGTCGTGTGCATCAAGTTAACACACCCCAACACTGAACTGATCTGCGTAAAATTTCTGTCCTTTTTCTCAAAGATCTGTTGTATGAATTCCTCAACGGCCCCTTTATTCCCACCACGCTTTATGCTGAATCCCTTTCGAATTAGAGTTACCAATTTCCTGGGGATGCTACCAAGGACTTTGCTTCGTTTGTGTGCGCTTGTATAGTTTTGTTTGGAATGCCTAAAAAGGGATTACTGGTGGTTTTTGTATTGCAAACCAATGTAACTTTTCACAGTATTCACGGTGAATTTTCGAGCTTAGTGGTATGGTGCACAAACTCAGTTTTAGCAAGAATAAAGTTAATTAACTGGGGATGAAGCACCATAGGTCTTTCCGTCCCCCTCTGGCCCTATGGACTATGTCATCTGACCAGCTACTCTAATCTAAGTGGAGCAAGCCGGCTGCACTTTTGTTTTCCACTTATGTTTTCCACTTAAAATTATTCCCCAAAAAACCTTTCGACACACACAGGTAATTTGGCTAGTCATGGATGCAGAAAAATGGGATTTTGTAAAGGTTGGACAGGAAACCAAAGGACACATCGTATGAACATGAACTCCATCGCATCTGTCGGAGCTTATCATGTTTGTCGGATGGCTGATGCATCATCTTGGTAAATGTGTCCACTTTTCTTCCTAGTTTCTTGCGCCTATCATGTGACGCCCTACGCACCAACCTTTGAGTCATCAGCCGGAGGTGGATAATGCATTCGCTCCGTCAGTGGGTCTAATTTTGACGGAATTTAGGTATCCAGAAAGCATTGAGGCAAACTGATCCCCTGACTTTTGTGTTGACTTTTCACTCAGAAAATCATCGATCACCAATGCGAGCTAATAATTGCGGGAAGTGAGCTCACGATTTGATCAAATTGAGTTGTTCCTTAAGGTCTTCAGTCTTTGAAGACCTTCTGTTCTGATTAGAGCTGAGTATACCTGGGAGTAGGTAGGATGATCCCTGCTTCTGGCCCAAGAAACGCACAACCTGGTCTGTTCAGCTGATTAATTTACTTTGTTTTTGCCTCGTCTTTTCAGCCAGCCCTAGCCAGCTATTGGTTTGCACTTACGCCCATGTTGAAAGAAACGCACAACCTGGTCTGTTCAGCTGATTGGTTTACTTTGCTTTTGCCTCTTCTATTCAGCCAGCCCTAGCCAGCTATTCTTTTGCACTTACGCCCATGTTGAAAAACCGCAAAACACTTCAGTGCATTATCACCCGCACTGAAGATACCTTCAGTAGTGTTCGCCTAGTTAAATGCAGTTAAAGTTGAAACAGTCTACACCACGGACCGAAGCTGATCACTTTATCTTTGATCTACACTAAATGGCCCCATTATACTAAAAAATACCAATCACGCTAGACATTTGCCATTGAGTTTGCGAGCAGACTCGTCACCGGAGATGGACGAATGGACTGTGATACGGAACATTGATGTGACATTGCTCAAGTAGATTACCGTCGGTCATCTGGTTCCTTGTCTTATCCTTTGAATCTCTTATTCAGTTCCGAACAAAACAGTCCATTAATAAGAATTGGTTTTTAACAGTAGCTCGTTTTTGTAATTCACCTGTACTGATGGTCAGTGACCTAGATTTTAGGTCAGTAGACGAATTCGTCTGAACTTTCGAAAAAGTTCGGTGTTCACGGTAGTGGTGCTAACAACCGTTATATCGGGGTGATGATAGTGGTGCTCACGTCGTTCTACTAACGATCTAGGGTGCTCTGAAAGTGGCCAGTCACTGGAAACAGGACAACTCACGTCGTTCTACTAACGATCTAGGGTGATCTGAAAGCGGTCAGTCACTGGCAACAGGACAATGAATAGAGACTGGAGCAAAGTAACTGGTTAGGTAAAAGAGGACTGTGACGGGAAAAGCAAAGGTACAACAGTAACCAAGCCGGATAGACAAACACTTTATCGTTGAAAGGTGAAATCCGCATCTAATGATGACATTTTTTGTAAAGCTTCTTGTCCGAATTCCTTGAAACATATGGCAAAATTCATTTTGGGTTGAAGAAACGACTAAAATCCTTTTGGAAAATAAACAAATACACTGTTGAGTGAACAGTTGAAAAGGTAAATTACAAGCGTTAAATAAATGGGCAATATCGGACGTGTAAATAAAACCCGGATTATGTGTAGATCGTGCGGGGAAACCCAGCTTGCTCACTAACTGCTGAAAAGGAGTGCTGACGTCAGATGAGCGTTAGATGATGGGGGTAGCATTTAAGTTTGCGGTTCACCAGTCTATTTGACCTTGACCCCTTGGCACATTCTATGAATCCGACTTAGTGTGTCGAAAGCCAGGATCAAGTTTGTGAAACAGATCTGCATGTCTGTCAAGGTAAGTGCCGCATCGCACTGCTGACTTGCGGTTCTCTTTGGATCGATTTAGAGTCCCATTCATCTCAGCTAAAAAGCAAATAAAAACACACTGATTACTTCATGCTCGTTGAAAAAATGATCATCATCAAAAGCTCAAGGGAAGAACCGTGGTTGACAACATGATTTTGATGGTAATATAAAGAGATTCGGCAACTTTCTTCACGGTGAATCTTGCCCTGACATCAATGTCGAACCATGCCAAAAAGCTGAGGAGCATTGTGTGGCTGTTTTTCCCTATCGGGAGTCATCAACCGTGCGCAACTCACGAAGCCCCAGATAGTTTCAAACCTGTGGCCTTCTGGCAAGTGTCCGACTGGACACAATCGGATGAACACCGCTTTTGGTCCAACGAATTAACCTGAACCGATTTCGCGTTCAGTAGGTCGGTACAACATGGTTTACTGATTACAAAGGCTTATATATCTGTGTGTGGTTTATGCGAAATATGATTTCGTCCTCAGCAGGCAGTCGTCAGAAAGAGAGGAATCCGTGCTGACTAGTGAGCGTAATCGTATGATCGGAATTGAAAGGACCAATTTTCCTAATCATCAGAAGCAGAACCTGATGGGTGTACAAAGTTCCTCATAAACGATTCGGTGTAAACAGCGATTCAGTGATTCAATGAGTGATTGGGCATAGGTTCAAACCTTTGTGGTGTCATTTTTATCCTTTCTGACGTTTCATCTGCTGGCCATTAAGCTGATTACCTTTAGCTCGAAGATTTGTGCCCCTGGCGCGTGAGATTCAGTGTGAGGCCTACGTCAGTGTTCATTTTTTCATTTGTCAATCTTCAGAATACAGGAAATAGGCTTTCGCGATTTTTATTGCTCGAGTACTCGAGTGCCACCTAAGGGCAGAATAAAGCTGATCACTTCTCATAAGTAGTAAAATGAACTATGAAGGATAAAGATGGTTGTCTTCTCGCTTAAAAGCCTAACACAAGTCCGCATGTTAGACCAATAGAAAACTGAGAAATAAGATGGCAATTAATATTCATGTGGGATTCTATCTCGAATGCATGGCAGTTTCACCCAAAGCCAAACAAGCCGATCCAACTAAAGTGAGATGAGTTTCTTTTCGCGCAAACCTGTTTGCGCCTTTAACTCGTGAGCATCTTTTTCTTCAGATTTTCAGTAAGACTGGTCAGCTGGCATTTTGTTCGGAAGACACGTTATTACCGGGACATCTGGATGAAATAGATGAACCACCAGTCGACACTAACTTGGCTTGTCTATATAGCGTGCGACTAACCATCGGATCTCAAGGCATTTCCCATACCATATGAGTTTCAGTGAACAACGCTGTCACTTCATGTGGAACTAGTTTCACATTTCCTTTGGATAGATATTATGCACAAGTCACCATCGAAGTGGTATGATACTATAAAAACATAAGCAAACTGCGAGCTCATCTTGAAGCTTCTGTCTGATAATACAAAATTTTGAGTACAGGCGAGCAACTGAAAAATTTCATCTTCCAATTAAACTTAGAAATAATTACAATTATGGGTGGCTCAACATATCATTTTTTCCTTCACTATGTGACAACGGTTACAGACAATAATACAACCAGATACACTCCCACACCGTAGATACCTCGAGCCATTGCGTCAGGATCACCAAATACCCGAACAGTGAAATGTGGAGCATCTGAGCTCGTCCTAAGCGGCATGAGGAACACGACCAAAGTGGGATATTGTATGCATATTCCGGAAAAACAGTATACATCAATGGAGAGGGGAAGCAAAGTTTCAACAAGAAATACCTGTTGCCCAGTCTGATGTAGAGTACGGACACCAAGGGCTGCAACGTGGATCAGATATTTTGAGGTTGGTTAGTGACAATTAGGTCTATTTTTCTGAGCAGAGGTTTAAATACGGAATAGTTGCTAGGCCATGGAAAGATGGGTTGATTGCACTGCATTGTAAGAAGGGAGTGTGAGAGAAGGTCGACGATACGCATGCTCAAGTTGGACGACTTAGTCTGGAAGAGGCCGTGCATACGGATAATAGGGGGCGGTTTCTTCAGATGTGTGCAGATTATCGTCTGTTTCTAGCCAGTACAAACTTCCAACAAAAACGCTCACATCAAGTTACTTGGAGGCCACCTATCACAAGACAGTCGTGGACTAAGTTATACCACGTGGCTATTAGTTAGCGATGGATTACCGTCCCTTCTGGGGTATGCAAATTCACTCGTGCATGCCCGGTTACTACTTTAGTTTCCGCCAGCAAAATATGTACCGAAAGAGAGCAGCCCCATTCATCAACTTCGACAAGCTTCCGTAGCTGAAGAGTATCTGGCTGACGTGGCTAGAAAGCTACTGGGAACGCACGAAGATTGCTTGGAGGATGAATGGAGGCGAGTTAAAGAACCAATGCTGTCGGCTTTCAGAACTGTTGGTCCGACCCATCTGAATCGACTCAATGAACACTGGAAATTTTTGAGATCAGCAGATCTGATTGCTACCAGAAAGGCTATACCAGCACCTAGTGACTATGATGACCAGATCCCTCAGGCTGACGTGGCTAGAAAGCTACTGGGAACGCACGAAGATTGCTTGGAGGATGAATGGAGGCGAGTTAAAGAACCAATGCTGTCGGCTTTCAGAACTGTTGGTCCGACCCATCTGAATCGACTCAATGAACACTGGAAATTTTTGAGATCAGCAGATCTGATTGCTACCAGAAAGGCTATACCAGCACCTAGTGACTATGATGACGCACGCAGATCCCTCATACACCGGATAATCAGCAGCTTAGAGAATGATTGAGAACGCTGGTGGATATCGAAGACCCAGGAGATGATGAAGGTTTTCGCTGCAGACAGCAGTCACGTCTTGTTCAAACTGATTCGATCAACTGGCCAAAAGAGGGTAGGTTTCGGTGAAACAGTATGGGAAAAAGACAAAACGGCCATTGACTCCCTCAGTCGTTGTCTTGAGTGGTGGGTTGAGCACTTCAAACAATAGATCAGCTGGTCTCCTCTAACACAACCGTTGGAAGAATTCAGCGGACTCAAATGGAATATTGACACCAACCCACAATAAACAACCAAAATGCGGCAAGAGGTATCAATCCTGAAGTACGACAAGACACCTGGCCCTGATGGTCTGCACCTCGCACTCTTCGAAGAGGGTAACGAGATCCTGGTGAACAGTCTGACAACCATACTGCGGAGGGTTTGGAACAAAACAGAACCCGAATGGAGAACTCCTCGACTACCATCCCGGTCTTTAAAACGGGTGCAAGAACGTCATGTAAGAACCAACGTCGTATCAGCCTGGTATCCGTCGCATCTAACATGCTCTCTGGCATTATTTTGCAGAGGCTGATGGATGATCGGGAGAGACAGATTCGTGAGAATCAATCTGGGTTTTAGTCTGATTGAGGATGCATTGAGACGAATTCTTGAACAGCGTCACCCCTTCAGATGTCCCACGTTGGTCGTTTTTCTTGCTTTGAAAGCTGCTTGCAATTCTGTCGATCATCGGATGCTTTGATATTGTCTGGCGACCAAAAGTGTACCTTCCAATTTTGTGTCCCTTACGAGGGCACTGTACACGAACTCCTGAGGACGCATACGGGTATACGGGAGGCTTTCACCTGATTTCACCACGTCGATTGGCGCAAGACAAGACTGTCCTCTCTCACCTTTGCTCTTCAATTTTGTTATTGATATGCTGCTTGAAATTTCTCTGCTTGCCTCTGAAACCTCGGGAGTCTGAATGCTCCTGGGACGTTCACTCACATACACTGAGGAAATTGCTCTCCTTAGTTCAGACCTTCCCAAATGCATGCGTTTTATACCTGCGAAATGGTACCACAAGAGTGTGTGGTACCGAACGCAAACTTCATGCTTACAGGTGAGCCGATCGACGTGGTAGATAAATTTGTTCACCTAGGAGGCTGTATAAGTTCCGGTGGACTGGATAAAGATGAGTTTATTCCTCGAATCGGAAAGGCCATGGAGGCTACTGACAATCTCAGACACCTATGGCGCCGATGCGAGATTTGTCTGTCAAGGGTAGTGCAATGCATACTGTTTTATGGATCAGAAACTTGGCCCCCACGTGCAGAGGACATACGGAAGATGTCAGTGATTGCCCATCGCTGTCTCCGGATCATTGGTCAAGTCTGGTGAGAACATCGGATTATTAATGTTAAGGTACGTCAGGTGGTCTTAGGAAGAAGGAATTCCCTCGCGAAAGATGACTTACTCCCGCTTCGTAGGTTACGCTCGTTAGGACATGCACTCCGATTGCCAAAAGACCATCTGCCTCACAGAACTCATTTTGCCCAGCCTTGTGGTGAGTGGAAGTGACCGAGAGGTAGATAGTGTATGACCTGGCAACGAAGTACAAGGACACTAACCCGTAAACTTAGTCGGGTCGCAAATTGCGGCCTCCCTGGATGCCCCGGGATGCATCTTATCGATGGTTAGTGACATTCGCGGAAATGGCCGGAACGTGCAGTTAATGACGCCAATGCATCAAAGCTATCGTCTTCAATGCTTAGCTATCCAGTTCCCAAAATGATTAGATATACGACCCACAGGTGACAAGTTCAAGCCAACTTAAATTAGGATGATTCTTCTAATTATATTAAGGGGGATGCACTGTTAATCATATCCTCTGTGGATTTACCCGTGGGCGACCGGACTCACCTGAAGCCTACTTGTGGTTGGTAAACCACAATCAGTTTGCACAGAGCAATGCCTAGTGTTACTTGAATGTTTTTGTTGCCTTTATGAATTCCAGAGTATAAGTTCGGTGAGTAAACGTAAAAAGAAAGTACGAGCACGGGAAGGTTCGAAACCAGGTATGGTCCTAGATTTCTCTCAGGCAACGCGCAAATGTACCGTTCTTCATTAGCGTAGAACACTCGTGTTGACCGTGACAGACTCGTGACACACCATGATGAAAACTTACTTTATTGTCTAGTATACAGCAGATCAGAACTTTTTAAATGGGCTGGATATGTCATAAAATGAATAAATTGAATTGAAGATCCATAAACCAACTTACGCAATACGTCCGGGTTAAAGCTTTGGAGTTCCTGTATTCTGTTTGCTAAATGGTTCAAAAAAATCGATTTTAGTCTCACATTAAACAAATCTTTAGTTGAAAACTGATAATAGATACCAAAGTAATGTTTCTTATATATATGTAGACGTCATAAAATCCAAAATACTAATACCTGGGTATTATTCTGTCTTAGGAAATGTGAGATAAGATTTGACGTATACGGCAGTACGCGTCCGAAAGAAATTTCAGAATTCCCCTTGGTGCACACCACTGGCTAACAACTCGCGAATCTTTGGCGACCAGAATTATTAGATTTCCTCCATCACATGAGTGAAGATGACCAACCAAATGAGATTCTCAGATTTGTTGGACACACATGGAGACTAGAAGATGCTGTCATGTGGTCATTTACTGGAATAGTTCACTTCCCCGTTACATCCAAATTCTATAGACTTTGAAAGTTAGCTGAACCAACGTTGACAAATGACGCGTCCGTTCAAGGTCCCAGATTAACCTGGCAATTTACGTTCTTGAGGATACACCATCGAGATATTTCATGTCCTTTTTAGTTAATTTTGTAAACGCTCAGTAAGCTAAGTTCGAATGAGTGACTGCGGTACAAGCCCTGGTGCCACGAGGTTTAGTCTAGTTTTCACTGAAAATGCTAAGAAGGATATTCAGCTCGGGAGTGTTGAAGGTTACGTCTATCTTCTAGGAAAAACGGGTGGCTGGATTGGGGGAAAATTTCATTAATCTCAGAGCAGCCTTCAGGACGGAATAGCTAGTCGGAGTAAAGAAGATCGACTAATTGTGGTTTTTGTCTTTTCACCTGTCTGTCCATTAGTATACGGAAGAATACGCCTCCTCTTGGAAGCAAGACTCTTGTTTTTTTATTTTTGCTTTCGGCAGAAAATGACACTATCTAGTAGGGTTGAAGGAATCGGCACTTCCAACCACCACTAAGTTGGTGGGGCCCATTGTGCTGAAGAAAGTTAGGGTCTGAACGTATCGATTAAACGCGGTCATCTCGGAGGGACTATCACGGCTACGTAACTCGCTACGAGAGTGTCCTTTCGCGAACATGATAAGTGAAACCAAGAGGAAGACTTTAGTGCTTTGCGGAGTTCGTTTGGCATGAACTGCTTGTCTCTAAACTTGACCTTGGTCTGGCTTTCCAGTACTGACCTCGAAGTGCCACCAAAAATTTGGAAAATAAAAAGTTAACCGCACCGGCAAAATAGAGGGAACATCCATACTTCTCTAGAATCAGAAATCCTAACCCTACTATATGGTGAGCGGTGGGACTGGAATCAACCGCCTGTATTTTACTGCTACAAAAGCCACGGTGCATTCAGATGTACTTATATCTGACAATACTTGATCTTGGAAAAATTCAGGAGCCTGGAAAGTTAACTTTTAAACTGATGTTACTATTTGCTTAGGAATGGCATGCACTCAGGAGTTGAGGACTGTGTACCGACATCACTTTGTTCTGGAGAGAACTAGTGAAGTGGATAGAAAATCCATAATTTCGCCCCACGAAACCTAACAGCTGGCTTGCAGATCTGTGCCACCAGCATGTTTGCTTTGTAGTCTTTATGAGTGTCTGGCGCCAGTAAAGCAGTGCTAATACGCTTAAACTGCGTGTTAGACGACGAATACTCGAACCCTTATGCAGTCACGAATAGACGCTTCTGTTGAGCCCCGTTAGGAGATAGACTTGCGTCTTCCAGCCTCTGCGCGAGCCAAATTAGAATACTTCAAGTTAGGACGGGAGACACTGAGTAAACGATGGTGATGAGTAGGACAATCATGCCACAGTGAAACCCTTAGACAGAGGACACCAATGAGGAGAACCAAAGTGTCCCTGAATGCACGACGCCTTCTCCTCAGTGGATGTGCTGATGTACTTCCGAATACCCTGCCGTAATTAAGGCGTACATCGTGAGTTTATCTTGTATTATAGGGCAAAACTACGTGAGAAATAAATTTGGTGGTATTGTGAGTAATGAAGCACAGACATTTGTTCCTTAAGCACTTCCATATTATTGTTACCCAGACGAAGTTGCGTGTGCACTTTTTTTTATAACGAGTTCTTTGATTCTTCTCAAAAAATCATTTAGCCGAGATTTACTATCCCTCAGCTGCTTTGCAATCTCCTGCACTGAGTAAACATTTGTTGTTTGGAAAATCTGGTCGAGCAGCCAAGTTGCATACCATCTTATTACGAGGCCGCCTTTTTCAAATCGCTGTTATAGTCAACTGAGTATGGACCGATAAAGGCGTCACTTTGGTTCACCATCCTATCTTTCGATTGGCGCGTACATGAGATCAACTGTTAGTCTGATACGATTGGTGTGTTAGTCCAGTGTGGCTGACGTCACGCAATGACCATTGGTTCGATCTCTGTTCGGCCGGTCTGTATCTACTAAGGTGTCCAGAGGCTGGTTCCATCACTGTTTGACACACTTCAGATGTACGTTGACGTCCAGCGTCTCACAATGCGTGTGTCATTAGGGTCGCTCTTTATTTTCAAAATGCAACTAACTGGTACGTTGCGCATGGGTTTATGGATCAAGATAGACACAAAGAATTTCGTTTGAGAGAGCTTCTGACTGTGTGAGACCGTGCTTATTTGGTTCAGTGGACTGTTTCTGGTTATCATTGCAACGACAACCCCAAGAGAAATTCCAGAGCATCCCAGAATACGGGGTATGGTCTACTGAAAGGTCACTTAATGAGAATACCGTTTACTACTCGATATGTTCTACCCGAGACACACTCTTACCAATGAACTCCCCAAGGATTAGTTCCTCTCCGTATTCCTCTTAATACGATTCTACTATCACTGATGTACAGGAATCACCCTTCACTCAGGAAGTAAATACGAGGCCAGCGATCAAACTGTCACTCACTTTCATCGCCAAACATTTTCTCAAGATAGGTAAACTCGTTGTAGCCCTGTCCCATCAACCTCCGTTGTATGTCCTTTGGTCGGGTAGTAGGCCATGGTGTCAAGTCCTCCGGTGTCTCCGGTGGTTTCCCTCTGGTGACAAGTATTTTCGCATTCCGTGATGCTTTCTTGCGCTTTGAAGGGAGAGGATTTGAGTAGACTCATCAACTGAGTGGTTACTTGGCATATCTCAACGCAGATATTACTCCTTTGTCCAAAATCCATGGTCATTTGTGTTCTTTGTTGTATTATAGGACTACTTGGTGATAACAGGCGAGAATTACGCTAACCATCCAAAACTCATTTCCCTAAAATCTGTCTAGAGTGATAGCCATTAAATCACTTAGAAGATCATGGTCACATCTTAAAAGTATTTCATCATTTGGAAAAAGGGCTAACTGCAACTTTCTGGAACTCTGTTACACCGACGGAACCCAAACCTTCGAAGCCAACACTAGGCTATGAATCTCAGTTACATGCAGTTCATCTCACCGAAAACAACGCTGACCTCTGTGAGATACGATTTCCAGTACATAACTGATGACCAGGACACCTCAGGAGAACTGAACACCTGTTGTAACCGGCCCTACACCTGGCCTGTTTTACGGGTCAAAAGTGGTTAAACCAAAGGAACAATCTGTCAAAAATGAATATTCTTTTTCGGATATGAAAGGCAACGGGTAACTAAGTGGCTAGACGCAATTGACCGCTTATTTGCACGAATGTCCGCGTATCCACCTCAACAACAAAGACCGAGTAACACCATCTGTCTTGGCGCAAACCTCAGTAGAAGCTTCAGTCTCGCAATGAAAATTCTCCTTATAATCGTCACCAAAGCGTTGTTTTTCAACTTTACCAAGAGCGCATCCTGTCTCAGCCGAGGAATGTAACTCATGAAGTGGCCTACCGCATGTGATCCCAGTCAAAATGTAGTGATGAGCTTTGGTTCATTCATTGTTTATCACAAACGACAAGCCTTGTGTCAGACATGAGTTAAATGAGGACAAATTAGCAATATCATATGCACGCTGTTTTTCGAAAAAATCTCCACCACCAGCAGTTTTTCGCTTGGTTATTCTTTCTATTATTTATAAATTCTTGCAGTTATACGTTGTGGTTCGAACGTCTAAGTCTTGATACGTACATATCTCATAAACCAACTACCTTTTGAGAGTTGTACTGTAATTCCGTCCAACTGACCGGCGGCTTGGGAAATGGGTTCGAATCTACGCTTTGAAGGCATCAGTCGATATTCTTCGAACGTGTTTGTATATTAATTTGCTTATTGCACGCCTTCAGATACCTAGAAAACTATGAAGCTTGTCACCCAGCTTAACTGATAAGCCAGTATAAAATCGCTGACATCGTAAAAGCACTAAAACTACTGTATAACGATAACGAATAGCTGTATTTATATGGTTAACCAAGGTTGTAACTCAGAGTAATGATGAAAAGAATAACATACCACTGATTTGAAAATATATTATGGTCTACTTAATATGCTCTAGAGAAATTGCAACAAATAATTCTAAAGAAAGTTCGACTGAAAACTAACAACCCCTTAACCATAACTTGGGCTACACGTGAAAAATGGTTGATCATGTCTCTAACAAACTTACCCCAGTCGACGCAGAACTCTTTATACTACTCACTACAGAAAGCATGAATTACTCCATTTTGAAGAAGAGTCCTTCCAGTACACATCAAATCGCTACAAAAGTGAGCACTTTATATCAAGCTTTAGAAGAATGAGTGAATTCTTGATGTGTAAAACCAAGCATTTGTGTTGTAAAGTTGATAAACAATTTAGAATTTGCTCCCAATTTTCAATTTCTAGTGAATACAACATACCGGAAAGGCTCCTTCATAAAAATTAGTCAGGTCCAAATCGGCTGTGAGACGTATCTTGCAATCTGTAGGTAACCAGGTAGACTGAGTTTGTCTTTTTGGAAGAATCACCCACCAGTACATGAGTTCTGAATAGCTGTTTCACACTTGTGCACACCAACAAGAAACTGCTCTATGGTTGGGCGCAGAAGTCGTCCTCGGTGGAATGTCTGCAATGCTTCTTCAAAATCCCCACGTAAGTAGTATATTTCTGCGAGTAACAGTAAGGCCTATGTATGAGGCTTGAAGGGCAAACAGGGAAAAGGGCTTACATGGGGATTTTTCGGTTCGTACTGTAGTACTGTCTGCACATCAGTTAGTGCTTTATCAGTTTCACACAAATACATATGACAAAGTGAACGTAGTAGGTACGATGGTATATGTTTATCATTTTGCTTGAGTGCCTTATAAATTAGGGCTCGTAAGCTCTCCGACTTACTAAAGCAAGGTAAAACAAAGCCCGCTGGTACTCCTTTCTACATTGCAGTGTGCGAGCTACCGAATAATAGGCATCTACAGAGTTAAAAGCGGGCCGTTCGCTGGAATCTTCAGACATTTTTCGTGATAATTCTATTCAGGAACTCGACTAGTTCAGACCACAAGAGCGTTTGAATAGATCCATCGACCGAGTCATGGGACACATGTGGGCCACGTGATGTAACGTGAGCTTATTGCGTAATATGCTGTCCACAAGCTGCCAGAGGCGAAAAAAGCTTGGATGAGGAAACTTCCGAAAAGGATACTCAAAAAGTCCACTTGTCATTTTTTTTCACTACAACCATTCGCACTCCGTCGTGACGAAGAAGACACTCTTCCAACATCGCATATCTCAAAATCCGTCGAGATAGTTTTGGTTGGGGATTTCACAGTATACCCCACTAATGCCGTTGCTACTCATAAAAATACCCTATTTTTCAGCTGTTTTCTTATCCGAACGATTTTCCCATTGTATACTTCTCGTTGTAGATTCATTCTTCCAATATCCGTTATCCATCTCCCAAATCCGGCTTAGTCCCTCATACACGATGTGCGATACCTTAAACGTAGCCGTATCAGTAGGCGATTGTTTTACCATGCTTTTAGATTTAATATGCCTCAAACACTCTACCCCTTGGTGATTTCAAGCGACAACTGTAAAACTGTGCTGATAAGTTACACATGCACTGGTCGACCCTTCTTAATTGAATTGGTCAACTATCTTAATGAGAACAGAAGACCGTTCGTGAACTTGCACGGAAGAACTTTTTGCCTAAAACAGATCACCTGAGATCGAACAGTATAACTGAACTACTACAAGAATAATAATATGAGTCCGAGAGTATCATCAAATGTTAAAAATTATTTTCTGTAGACTGTATAAAAACAACCCAACCAGCCTTCTGCAGTTGCTTAGTCGGATTCCCAACCCGCAACACAGTCCTGGACAGTGAACTTAGAGCCCTCAAATAGTTTCCGGAATAAACGAAAACCAGTTGATCCTCAAGCGTCACCGAGCTGTTGTTTCTGACCTACTTCCATCCACTCCGTTCAAAGATGAAGGTAAGATCCTCAGTCGGTGGTTGTCTACCTTATATGCCTCTATCTGAAAGAAAGAGACCGGTAAAACGAACAGGGATGGGTCGATAGTGATGCTGAACCTCAGAAACAGTTTTCATAGTGAATGTGGCAATCACTGAGGAATTCGCCTTACCCCGTTGTAACCAGACGCTTTGATTTGCATTTTGTGGCATCGTTTTACGATGGCACGTGAACTCAGTACCCCAAGCAGGATTCCGACAGGAAAGGCGGTGTGGACAACACCTTCACACTCCATCAAGTACAAAATTAAAGACATGTGCATAGATGCCATAGGATCTTCGTTTTTCTTAACTTCAAAAGCGCTTCCGATTCTGTTGACCGGTCTTTTCGTCTCAGCACGCTTGCGCAATAGGTTGTGCCCCAGTAGTTTGTGAATGTCAGGCACCTTTTGCATTCACACACTTGCGGGCGCCTAAGACTATATTGGGAGCTCTTCAAAGGCTTCCCTACGAGTATTTGTGTCAGATGTGCGCGTTCAATGATTGGGTGTTCAGATTTATTTGATGATATCTATGATACTCTGGCTTTGCTTTACCTGTTTGCTAATCTTATCACACTCTCTGTAGTGATTGATGGTTCGCAGACTCCCTTAATATTGTTGAAAAAGTCGACTTATTTAAAACAAACTCCTCGCACAAGTGTGTTACACTGTGTTAGAATTTTCCCACTTTATTATAGCCGTCAGGTGGATCATTTTCCAACTAGACACCTCCCACAGTAGTCTCTTAACACATTCTGCAGTAATAACAGTAAATTATCTTTTATCCTAATTAGGCATCCATCAACTCGGGTCTTGGCCGATATTTTGATTTGAAAACTCGTCTCAGACGTTTTCTATACATGGCCGTTACGGTAATAATAACGTAATGGCTTACACCGGCTGAAGTTTGGGATGCCTCTTATTGAGATTGGATGACCATTGGGCATTCGAAACTTACGAACTTCTCTAGTTACACCCTACAACAGCACGTTATCTCTAAAATATTCGATAGAGGCAATGAGATCAGTGGCGAGAAAAAGCAACGCTTTAAGTTTTTTGAACCAGGGGACGCCAGGATATCTGGAAATCTACCGGATAGAAATTCCCCGCCATCAAATGAAACTGTTTCTCTTCGTCGTTTATTTTCTAAACTTCTCCTTTGGCCTTCAGCTTCTCATCATATCCAACGTTGTGGCACTTGGGTTTGCAACAACCTCTATGATCAGAGAGGCACCTGCGTTAAAAGCTTGGTAGCTCGCCTTTCACAAATTTTAAATGTTAATGTATTTTTGTTCTTGTGCGAAGATTAGCTGCTCCCCCCAGGCGTGTTGCTGACACAAGGCGGGTTGATACAACTCTGTACGTGCCGCAAACTGACATGGATCAGACAGTACCCACACCCTTACAGGTCTTTCCCCTTAAAGTCAAACGAAACATATTTCATTGCCTTTATGACTGAGCAGCAGAAATTCGCTCAGCGAACAATTTGACCTTAAATGTGCGCTTTGAGATGTGGCTATCCAAAACAATTTTCAACGGGAGACCCCTAATCGAGATTTTCACACAAAACTATACAGCGTACAAAATCCACAATGCACTACTTGCAGTCGATGTAAATATTGAAGAACTGGTGCGAAAACATTTTTTCCCGCACATCTAAATGTACATTTATATAGTTGCTGACGGAATTGTTTATGTTGCACTTTATAATCTTTTACTTTCAAGGTAAACCTGTGAAAAGCCACTTAGAATAGGAATTCGACCGAGTAAATCAAGCAACTGATACTCCCCGCATTTCCTCTGAATTTTCGGGTAGTTGTTCTAACAAAAGTTAAATGTTTGGATCTTCCGACTCTCTTCCGCGCCAAGTAGCAAGTAATGGCCTTGTTTCCGAATTATCAGTGTCTAGAATTTAAATGGTGTGAGTGTAGTCTTTGAGCCGTCATCCTGCAGAAATCCTGTCTCTTTCTGTACTGATTTCTGCATTTCACAACCCAACGGATAATGCTTATGTTCACATCATCATGCGAATGGTATTACCCATTTCCGATTTATTGCGACACCCAATATCCCCGCCGTGGTCCCACTTGTTGCAGTTTATTGCAATACTGTGGTTGGATATACCATGCCTGCTACAGTCTTTTGTAGAAGCACCGACTACTGCCACTTTAATGAAGCTTCAGATCCTGACGTTGTTTTTAACTCTACTGCTTCTACTCCGGCTTTTTGCAGCTCTCTGGTTCCTCTGCTCAATCCTGCACCAAGGTTTATAGGTGGTCCGAACTTGGATTGAGATTCATTCTCTAACTTCAAAAATATACTGCTTTCTTCTTTTGGATGTCGTCTTTTCGTACCACGACATTGTTTCACCGGTAACGCCAGTGGCCTTTTAAACTCAGTGCTTTTAGCAATCGCGAACAGAAGGGCGCTGTGTTTCTTCTACAGGAATCTCACGAAACATCTCCCTACAAGATAAAGATGAAGTCCAATTTTTTTGTTTCTCTCGGTCTATTGACACTCGTTTAATGAGATGGCGACTTATCGTTAACCCTTACATGTAAATAGTCATCTAGCCAGAATCCCAAGTCAGCCATGTTTGCGTACACGTGTACACATTCGTACATTTGTACATTTGTACGCATAGGAACATACAGGCAGTCCTAATCTCTATGAGTCAACTCCTAAAGAGCAGCTTGTTTCAGGGGATGAACTCTCGTTTTGTATAATCATGGACATTTTCCATTTGACGAGAAAGATTATTGGAGGAATAATCTGTTATCAGAATTAACTCCCGCCATGAACTCCTCCTATGAAGCCGATTGTGAAGCTTCCACCTACCATTCTCGGTTAAATCTCTTGTTTCCTTTAGATCGACCGTGACTACTGTGTCATCCAGTATGGTCGTCTACCCAAGAGTCTCTGTTCAGCCTTTGATTAAATTAATCAAGCCAGCAACTGTGACAATTTAGGGTGGTGGTACTCATTGCCTTCACCAAGGCTTCTGTCATTGTGGTTGGCATTTCAGTAAAAAAAATCTCATAAAATACCAGTTAGTTTCGTTGTCTGGGATAACTCATCTCAAGAACAAATTACTTTTCAATAAACTTTTGCCTAAATGTAGTCAGTACTTTCTGGAGTCTTACCACATATATCAAATGAATTTCATCCGTCATCATTGAGATAAACCCCGATTGTGAACACCAGTCATTGCACAAGTACATCCCAGGCTTGTCTGGTTTGGGAGAATTTTAGGGTCACCATTGTGTTCTTAAGTAGTACAGTCGTTCCGAGCGTGTGCAAAATCATACTGGACAGCAGCAACCACAGTGCTGCTCGGTGTTGTGCGAATCACACGCTTGATTAGGCTAGACATCATTTCGGATTTCCTCAGGATGACTCAATCCGAGGAATAGCCATCATCAAATCCAGTTCATTTGGTAAACGATTGGGGACAAGTAGAGATAAAGGTACAGTTCTGTTTCAGTACACTCAACTGAGTTGTGTCAATAAATGGCTAAGATTTACTATTCCAAGCACCTTTGGGCTTACCAGGCGTCTTCGTCATATTTTATTGGGGGTAAAATTGTCGTCGTAGGACCGTGGACAGTGATGTAATCACAGTTCGAAGAAATCACTTATGGCTGCTTGGATGACAACTGCTGGCAGTGAGTTCCAGCTGAGGCAAGATTTTTATAGCCGATCCAGAGGGGCGATCGGGATAATTTGGACGGCATGGTCCTGCTATATTGTCTCACCGGAATTTGAACCAGACCTAGTCATCGTGTCCTGTTCTTGGTGAATAAATCATGAACGGGTGCAGTTACCCTAACCAGTAGCTCACCATTACCCCTTAGTAGTCTTTCTTATTCTGCTTTTACCTGGAAGTATCAAACTATTTAGACATATCTCCCGGTAACTTTTACTCGGTGGCTATCCTGCTACCCCTTCCATTATGTGACATTCAGCAATAAGCTCAAACTTTGCGAAGTATGGCCTGTGGGAATCTCACAGCCGAGACCATTTGTAGGCCTTCTTACCGTCCTTCAACTATAAATTAGTGAATGTGCTAACCAAATTGTGATCAAGGAAAGTACCTCAAATTTGAGACAATAACGTGGATAGCTTGACGACTGTGTAAAATCTCCTATCTTTTGCGGACAATACATGAAAAACGCTAGGGGATATCAGGAAAAATACTTTTTAGCACAAGTATACAAAGACATCAGAAACGATTTTCTATGGTGCTCATCCTGGAAAGGTGTGAGTCCGATTAAGTCAGACGGATGACCGGGCTGTTTAACCGCGCAATGGTAACTTTACCTCGAATAACGATGAAACATATTCGACTTAATCGCAAGCTAGGTGGAACACTAACGTACCATCCGCTTTTGACAAAAACGACAATTCGCATAGAAAAACTTATTAAGATTTGCAGCTTGTCGACCTAGGGCCCCTATTCCCACGTCCAACATTGCCGATTCCGGAAGATTTTCAGTCAAAACCAAAGATTCCAATAACTACTTTCCTTAAACCTCGACAGATTGAGGAAAGACTTTGCAAAAATCCAGTTTTGCTAAAATCTCTCAGCATTTTGTCGAAATTTATTCAAATGGTACGCATTTGTCGGTATTTTACACACAATGTCGGTTGTTCACTGTCCTTGTCCAATGGATAGCTGACTGACTTCGTTATAGTCTTGTGTTTCTTTGTCGAACCAATGAAGTCTACTCTTTCTCGTACCAGAAACCATATGCATTTATGGTATAGACGGGATAACCAGTGAGATCTGCAGCGCATGGTTGAAGGTCCCTGCGTTGTATTTTGTCCTCCCTGTATTCAGCTGCATAACTCCTCACACTCCTGTAAATTCGGTGAAATTTACCCTAAGTGTACCTAAGAGCGATGTGAATGTAAGCACCCTTAGTGTCGATGTCATGTAAATTGTAAACTACTTAAACTGTTTAAGTAACTAAACAATAGATGAAATTAACTGAACGCACATCACGTCATACCAGATAGCCTGATATA